CCCTGAACAGAATATAAATATGTATGTGTTGATTTACAATTTAGATCAAGAAAGAACAAATAATCTTCCGGTGTAATTATAATCACATCTCAGTGGATTACTGTTTATACCACAAATATGATCATGGAAACCATCACATTTAACTCTTGCATTTTACAGCTAATGGTATAAAATGGTCATCATTATCTAAATGACTGTGCTTTGCACTGCACATTTGGATATCACGGAGTTGCACCCATGCCAATGGCTTCTTTATTGCTGCAGTAACATATTTCAGAAGGGAAAAGACATAAATGAATAAAACAGGATAAATTATTACTTTTAAACATATGTTGCAAACAAATCTTTAAAGATGTGGGGTACTATTATGTTTTTGTTGCCACTTATTTGGAAAAGTGTGAGTAACTTACTCATAGGCTCTCACTTTGATCCAGTCTTACTCACAATGTTTTGCCATTGGCTTCACAGGGAGCAGTACTCTCCATTGGGAATTGTGAAGTTAACTAAGTAAGTAAGATTGGGCTCTGTTCAAGTCAGTGGTGCCCAAGCTTTTCCTGTTGTGCCCCTCCCTTACCAATAATGGAATCAGTCCATGCTCCGCTTCCCCCCATTACTGATGTGGAATGCACCCTCAGCAGATGGCATGGATTGCACACTCAGCATCATTAATGATTTGGAGGATGGCGTGGATTGCACCCTCAGCAAGTTTGCAGATGACACTAAACTGGGAGGAGTGGTAGATATGCTGGAGGGTAGGGATAGGATACAGAGGGACCTAGACAAATTAGAGGATTGGGCCAAAAGAAATCTGAGGTTCAACAAGGACAAGTGCAGAGTCCTGCACTTAGGATGGAAGAATCCCATGCACTGCTACAGACTAGGGACCGAATGGCTAGGCAGCAGTTCTGCAGAAAAGGGCCTAGGGGTTACAGTGGACAAGAAGCTGGATATGAGTCAACAGTGTGGCCTTATTGCCAAGAAAGCTAATGGCATTTTGGGCTGAATAAGTAGGACCATTGCCAGCAGATCGAGGGACGTGATCATTCCCCTCTATTCGGCATTGGTGAGGCCTCATCTGGAGTACTGTGTCCAGTTTTGGGCCCCACACTACAAGAAGGATGCAGAAAAATTGGAAAGCATCCAGCAGAGGGCAACAAAAATGATTAGGGGTCTGGAACACATGACTTATGAGGAGAGGCTGAGGGGAATGGGCATATTTAGTCTGCGGAAGAGAAGAATGAGGGGGGATTTGACTGCTGCTTTCAACTACCTGAAAGGGGGTTCCAAAGAGGATGGATCTAGACTGTTCTCAGTGGTAGCTGATGACAGAACGAGGAGTAATGGTCTCAAGTTGCAGTGGGGGAGGTTTAGGTTGGATATTAGGAAACACTATTTCACTAAGAGGGTGGTGAAACACTGGAATGCTTTACCTAGGGAGGTGGTGGAATCGCCTTCCTTAGAGGTTTTTAAGGTCAGGCTTGACAAAGCCCTGGCTGGGATGATTTAGTTGGGGATTGGTCCTGCTTTGAGCAGGGGGTTGGACTAGATGATCTCCTGAGATCCCCTCCAACCCTGAGATTCTATGGACAGTTTGCTCAGCGGAGGAGCTTGGGCTGAAGGAGGAGCTGGGGCTAGAGGCACTGCTGGGCTGGGGGTGGAGAGGTATGAGGGCATAGCTGAGCTGGGAATGGAGCAGGAGGCGGAGTGAGCTGCAGCTGGGGCACAGAGCTGGGCTGGGGGTGGCACAGAACTGTGGCGGAGGTCGGTGATGGTCCCTCCTGCCCACTGTGGGGGCTGGCCCAAGCCCTGCCATGTGGCACCCCACAGTTTGGGAACCACTGGTTTAAGTAATAAGAAAAGGAGTACTTGTGGCACCTTAGAGACTAACCAATTTATTTGAGCATAAGCTTTCGTGAGCTACAGCTCACTTCATCAGATGCATACTGTGGAAACTGCAGAAGACATTATATACACAGAGACCATGAAACAATACCTCCTCCCACCCCACTCTCCTGCTGGTAATAGCTTATCTAAAGTGATCACTCTCCTTACAATGTGTATGATAATCAAGGTGGGCCATTTCCAGTACAAATCCAGGTTTTCTCACCCCCCCCTTTTTCCAAAAACCACACACACAAACTCACTCTCCTGCTGAAGTAATGCAGTCATTACAGCTAGTGGCCTCTCCTATTAGTTGCTCAACTGTAGACACCAACAACCTGATCTTATGTAAGCCAATGGAAGCTAGGCTTACATAAAAGTACCTCCAGCCAAACAACAAGAACAGCAAGGGTGTGAATTCTGCTTCACCAACCCATAAGTGTAGATCCTTTCTCTGTGATGGATGGGGTTCTGTGGGGGCTGCTGCAGAGGGAGCAGCTGTTGAACTGTTGCTTCCCTCTGTTTGGTTTCCCTGTGGGTGCTTGTGATAGAAGGCTGGAGAAAAAGCAGAGGGCGCTCAAGGAAAAGCAGAGGAACAGCAATTTGTGGAAATTTGCCAAAAATTCCATTGTCCTTGTAGTAAGCTGCCACTAATACTAGGGAACAAGGAAAGGAGCTAATGGGTGCTCTGAAGCCGCTCCTTCCTGTACCCACTTCTGTTTACAGCTGCCAGCAGAACCCCTCTGAGATTCACATATTTAGGGGATGGGTTGTGTTGAATCCATTTTGGTTGAAAGTTTAAATTACCTAAAGTTGGTGACAGTAAAGTCATTTCAGTGTGTAAACATATTATGTAAAACTTATTGTTGAAAGCACAGAACAAAGTGAAAGGATGTGAACTGAGGTTTATTTGTTTTTTTTCCCCCAAACTAAAAACTTACAATTAGGGGTTTTCAAAGCTTCTGGTGAGGTTACAAAACTATTCTAGGAAGAGAGAAGGTCAACAAATACGATTAGGTGTATGGAACAGCTTCCATATCAGGAGAGATTAAAAACACTGGGACTTTTCAGCTTGGGAAAGAAATGACTAAGAGGATATGATAGAGGTCTATAAAATTTTGACTGGTGTGGAGAAAGTGAATAAAGAAATGTTGTTTACTCCTTCATACAACACAAGAGCTAGAGGTCACCCAATGAAATTAATATGCAGTAGGCTTAGAACAAACATCTTCATGCAACACACAGTCAACCTGTGGAACTTGTTGCCAGTGGATGCCATGAAGGCCCAAACTATAAGAAGGTTCAAATAAGAACTAGATAAGTTCATGGAGGATAGGTCCATCAGTGGCTATTAGCCAGGATGGTCAGGGATGCAACACCATATTCTGAGAGTTCCTAGCCTCTCTGTCAGAAGCTGGGAGTGGACGACAGGGGATGGATCGCTCAATGATCCTTCTGTTCATTCCCTCTGAAGCACCTGGCATTTGCCACTGTAGAAAGACAGGGTACTGGGGTAGATGGACCATTGGTCTGGCCTGGTATGGCTGTTCTCATGTTCTTAGACCAGAACTATTTTAAGAGAGAGAATTATCTATATATGAATCATTGAAACTTGGACAAGGATGTCACACCTTTTGGATATTTCTTTAGTGGGGACTACTTACTAACATTCTCAATGTTGCAGTGAGGCTGCAGCATCCGTATCAAGCCCAGTAGCACTATTATAACTGCTACCATCATGGCATGGTGAGAGATGGGGTTTGCCATCACCTATTAGGCCTTCTCTTCACTGAACCCGAGAGATGGTCTAACCTGAGGAGAAGGCAGTTCTATTTACACTAGGGACATTTTTCAAAAGTTGCCCAGCATTCCTAACGTTATGTTCAGAGTCACTATACAGATTTATCTTATTCCACTGCCAATGTCTGAAGAACAGGCTGAGGTTCAGACGGCTGAAGGCTCTCGCAGTTCTGAGGGAGCTGATAGGTTTTAGTTTACCTTGGGAAGGTTGTCTTCACCACTAACAAAGAGCTAGAAACTGTAGTCTTTTTTTTTTTGTAAAATCAAAGCCTAAATTTTGCAGAACAGAAGGGAAAGACCTGACACATGTGAGGGACAGTTTCTTACCATTTGAAACTGTTACACTGCATTTAGATTTCACATTTACTAAGTAGGTTTAAAAAGAAAAAAAATCAAACTCTAAACATTGATTGAAAGTTGACAGAGAGAATGAATCGTCATCTTCTTAGGGGGGCTGTAAATTTTAGAACAATTATCAGTCTGATAGAAATAAAGGTGTTTTAAAATATCAAATGAATTAATCCTGATTTCCAGGTATAAAATATAGCCTTTAAGGTAACATCAGTTCTCAGTATAACAGTGTGGGACAGGTAGGATATATTAAGCCTGTTCTGTTACACCTGAGACCTGAAGGAAGCAGAACATAAAAATGAGCCTCTTTATCAATTTTAAGCAAACCTAAGCTTTGATCATGGCTGTGGTCTAAACCTATTACAGATGTTCAAATTCAGTCTCCTTGGTGTCACTGGGAGATGACCTGAATAGTGAGCAATAAACTTATTTATTATAATTCAAGTTTAGAGATATGTGCTGAGGAAGTGAAACTGGCAGACAATGTTTTGTCTATCTTTAAGCCAACAAAGAGCCTATATAAAATGACAGGTGCATTTTTAGGAAAAGAAAGCCCATAATGTTTTCCTATTTAGTAGGTGACAGTGTGTCCCAAGATAACACAAGCTTAAGGGACCAAAATAAGCATCATTATTAGAGGCTAGTGGCTTCTGAGTTCATACAAATTGAATTCTTTCATAGGCTGAAGGGCTGTGGAAATCCAGCGAAGAGTGTAGAGCTCTGAAATAAAATTAACATGTAAAGTGATTTTATATATGCAGGTCTGTAGCCACTAAGTTTGAATTTGAGAAAAATCCCATTACTTATCTTGTAAAAGAGAGAATTCTTAAATTCCCCATTTGCTATCCCTGATATAAAGGTTCTGCATATGAATAAAAGTTTTCTGTGGTTGCCCAAAGATAGAGGTTATTGAATTGACCAAGATCCATTTCTTCTCATTTCCCCCCCCCCCCCCTTTCTCTTTACAGGGTAACTGATTTAGGAAACATTAAAAGAAGATTGTATTTATCAACGGTCCATAAGGAGTTGTCTGTAACCCCTCTGCATGCAAAACTTCCTCTTTTTATGATCAAACGCAAAATAGTAGGTATCTTGGATATGTTACTTAAAGTACTGTTGAACAGAATATTTCTGTTTGTATCAGAAGACTTAATATATATATTTTATTTTATCAGGTCTGTAATGCACGCGCGCGCGCTCTCTCTCGCTTTACAGTCCTCATAAAATCCTGTTGATTCAAGACACTTGAAAGAGAGCTTTGTCTAACTGAACAGATACGCTTGCATACGCACCAGATATTGCATACGTGTAGATATTTTTATGTATAACTGTTCTCTACTTGATATCAGAACTGCTTATAGTGTGGAAGAGAAGAATCTGAGTTCTGTCTCCCTTACCACTATGAAGATCTGAGTGATAATCAAAATCTGAGGAGGCTGTGGATCTGTTATAATTGGTGCCCTATATCTATTGTTAAAACTTTGCCTCTTCCTATTCTCTCACAATCCATTTATTTTTTGGTGCTTTCTCTCTTCTCACAGATTTCTTCATCCCCTCTCTCTGTCTGTCTTCTCATAGCTACTGGCTATTAGTCCTATTCATGACCTTCTCTGCATATAAACCCACAACCACCTCGTCTCCTTACTACCCTGGACTCCCTTCTTGTCCTGTAGGCTCTGTTTTCTCTAACTGCTGTCTGTTGCTGCTGTCTGTCCTCCCACCTGCTGTCCTTCCCTTCCAATACATTTGGAATTCCTGCTCCGTTTCCAAGCTCTCTGCCATTCATGACCTATTGATCTCTTACAAGCTCCATCTCCTTAAGGTGACCAGATGTCCCAATTTTATAGGGACAGTCTGGATATTTGGGGCTTTTTTATATGGACTCCTATTACCTGCCACCCCCTGTCCCAATTTTTCACACTTGCTATCTGGTCACCCTACATCTCCTCAACATTGCTGAAACATGGTTTTCCTTACTGATTCTGTTTCATTGGCAGCCCTCCTTTTCTCTCTCACCCTCACCTGAAGTTAACTTTATCACCTTTAGTGGAGCTCCGACTAAGCATTAGCGCCTATTTTGAAATGTCACTTATTTTTACATAGAATTCTACACAGGTAGCTACAGGATATAAGACATCAGAAAAAATATTTCATAGAGAACTCTAAAATTAAGGGGTTATTTTATTATCATTTAGTTGAAGACAGTTATGTTAATTTCTACTTCTAACTTCCCTTAGTTTTCTACTTTCTGGCAAGAGCTGTTTTTAAGAACAGAATATGTACCAGGCCATACCACTGAAGTAGTCATTAATTCAAGATCCATTGAAATAAATTATTTTTCTTCAATACCATTTCAATTAGTTGGTCTTGGTGTCAGGCTAACACTAATGTGTCAAGACTAAAGTATGCATTAATGTACAGTAAATTAAATTCAATCAGAATATGATCTTCAATTACAGGGTTTCATTCAGATAATAAATCTGTCATCAGAGATCTGACTCAATATTCTGATCAAATACAATGACAAAATGTTTTAATAACCTTAACCTCTGAACAGCCAAGAATTTGCTTGTTCAAGAATGGGTCTGAACTCTGTGAGCATCTTGAGTACTTAACCATTTTTTTAAAAATCTGATGGTTAGCTGCCTGTTAATTGTAGCAGATATTTAAAGAGGGGCATGTTTGTTTTTAGTAATAAAAGGTTGCTTTTCTCCATGGCCAAGGTTGCATGACTTTTTTTAAAAAAAATTTATATAGATGCTGGTAATTAATAGTGATATCTACTGTGTTCAAATGTAAACCCCAATATTTTTATTGAACTTTTAGTCCCTTAACATCTAACTCTTATATCGTACTTTTCATCTGTCAATCTCAAAACACATTGCAAAGGAGTAAGTATCATTTATCACCATTTTAAAGATGGGCAAACTAAGACACAGTGAAGTGACTTGCCCAAGGTCAAGCCAGTTGGCCAGTGGCAGAGCTGGGAATAGAAGCCAGGTCTCCTGAGTCCCAGTCCTGAACCCTGCACAGCTCTATCCACTAGGGATTGTATTTTTGTCATGTGTAATTCAGTGCTGTTTCCAAACACTTCTTCTTTTGTGTTGAAACCAGATGTAATGTGCCTTACATTCTCATACATAGGCATCCTGCAGTGCCATTTTTACAAATGATTGCAGTGCTTCAGCAAGGCGACTGCGCCAGTAGTAGACTTAGAAATGTCAGTTATAATTAAAAATTGTGTTTTCATTAACTTGCACAGTTTATTCCTAATATATATTTCTGACCTTTTTGAACTTTCAGATTCAGGAGCAGAAAAATAATGGATGCAGTTTTCTTTTAAAACTACTTGGGATTAAATTAATTTGTGCACTGAATTCCCCCCCACCGTATGTTTTACATTTGGCATGTAGATACTGGGGTTTTTTTTATTTATATATAATAGGACCTTTTTAAATTCTATTTTTCTAGGGAAATACTGATTTTCATTATGTTCAACATGATGTATGTTCAACTACTTGTCTGTACTGTACAAAAATCAACTTTATGCACAGATGTTAAGTTCTCTTCGAATGAAATTGAACCTGACAAAAGTGCAGAAGCTATTGGAGTAATATAAGAGACTAGTGCCATAATACAATTTTTGGCTGTCTATTCTTCCACTCGGTTAAAAAAAAAAAATCACCAGGGTCTTGTTTGTACTAAGAAATTGCATTGTAGTTAAACACTATTTAACACTGGTTTTAACCATCCAGTTAGCTAACATAATGCTGACCTTGACTTTGCAGAATGTAGACAAGAACAGGACAAGTTCAGTATTGTGTCATAACTATCTAACATGATGCGGAACATAACTTGTTGTTAAAGTCGTGGGTGTCACTGTGTTAGCTAACTAAATAGTTTTAAAAAATTGTTTAAATATAGTACAGTTTCCTAATGCAGACAGACTACTAGTCACCGTGTACCGTTGTTTTGGAGGATGTGAGGGGACAGCACCTCTTGCAATTCATGGGGAGAAATCTTGATATAAGAAGTTACCAAAGTTTTTAAGCACAGTCTATAAAAGTAGTTAAAAAGCTACAGTGAAATTAAACAACCTTTAAAGTATTGAAAGTAGCCAAACTTTGTATCCAAACACTTGCAGTTAACAAATGCTTCTCATAATTTGCTTCTCCAGTTGTGTCTGCAAAAATATCTTTGTGAGGATACCCTGGATAATTGTGCTCATTTGAGCATGCAGTCACCAATTTTATATATGCAATTACTAGTTTGTATATATAAATGACTGTTGCATGTGTAACTACCGCAATGGTAACAGATTATTTTTAAAATAGTGAAATATTATGCATAAAGGAAAACTGTCAGTGAGTCCAATCCCGTACTGCAAGTTTAGTTAGCAGAGAACTAGACAGTCTTCAAATATGTTAAAGGTTGTTAAGAGGATCATGATCAATTGTTCTCTATGAAGGTAGGACAATTAGTAATGGGCTTAATCTGCAGGAAGGGAGATTTAAGATATTAAAAAAACCCTTTCTAACTGTAAGGATAGTTAAGCACTGGAATAGGTTTCTGGTTGTGGAATCCCTGTCACTGGAGGTTTTTAAGAATAGATTAGACAAACATGCAAGTTGTCATCTAGGTATGCTATAGCACCTCAGCACAGGTTTTGGACTAGATAACCTCTCGAGGTCCCTGCCAGTCCTAAATTACTATGGTTCTATCATTTTTACTACACTGCAATAGTTTATGTAAGGATTGCACTAAAAATATTTTGTTTCTTTATTCTAGTGGTGCAATTTGTGCATTGACTTGGTAGCATTCACCAGTGAAATATTCAAAGGAGCTGTTTTCCAGTCTTTGGATGGAATTATCATCTCGGCTAACTGTAAACTGAGAAAGATCTTCACTTTGAAATCAAAGCCTCAAGATACAGCTGAGGAAGATGGTGTGTTACAGATGATATTATGCTATCTCAGTCATTACTGTTCATATTGTAAAAACAAAAGCTCCTTGACCACAATCTTTGAATTAATCATTTTGAGAAATTATGTGATTTCATGAGAACTGAAGTGTGTTTAGGTCATACACATCTAGTCTTCTTGGACAATAGATGACGTCAGGTAAATGTAGCTATGTACATTTTATAGAGTGCCAGCTTCATGAACACTGTTGTGTGGGAAAGGTCTCCTCTTTGGTTTAGAATGCCTTTTTAAAACTTTTCTGGCAAAACTCTATGTGGAGTTGTTTTATCATGTCGATTGGTAAATTGCTTAATTATCAGTGGCTGCTTCTGCTTGAAAAAAGGAGATGTCCTTCCCCAGGGTGGCTTCCGGTGAGGATGAAAAACATGTACATTAGCTGTACTCCAGCAGTTCCTCGATTACCTCTAGCTTGGAGATTTAACAGTTGATGAAGGCTTTCTTCTTTAAACAATCCAAGGAAATGTTAGCTGGGAGACTGCAAGTCACTGTTCTACTTCCTGATGATTTTAAGGTGCATTAAACAGAGAGGTTTTAAACAGTCGTAGATTATTAAAATTCTAATGGCAATTTGATGCCATCTTCTCATGGCAAAGAATCTAAAGAGAACTGAAAGTGGCCCAATGTGGAATCTACTCTTCTCATAAAGACTGCAAGAAAGGTAAATTATACAAATGAAAGATACTGAATGACCACAGATACTACATGATCCCTGTTGCCATAGTGTCTGAGTGCCCCACAGTCTTTATTGGGTTTGTCTTCAAAATATCCTTGTTAGTTAAGGAAGTCTTATTCTCCACATCTTACAGGTGAGGAACAGAGACTGAATTACTTTCTCAAGGTCACTCAGGAATTCCATAGTGGAGCAAGACATTGAACCCAGGTCTCTAGAATCCTAGGCTAGCACCCTAACCATTAGACTGTCATTTGCCTGATGAGACAGATTCATCCCTATACCACACCCAGCACCAGTACAAGGATGGCTGGGAGACAACTTGCACCTCCCCTATTTAGGGTCTGCGCATGGCCAATTTTGCCTCTTATGCAGGCTAGAGCATGGGCCTTGTTGCGCTGGCATCTATGGCCTATTGCGGTGACTTCTATTTCTACACCAACACCAAAAAAATCGCTTTTTCCATTAGTTTGTCCACAGCCTACCACAGAACACCCCCTATTAATTATGTATTGGGTACCACCATTCTACTTGGCCTTGCACTAAACCTAGAAGAAAATAGGGTCCCTGCCATAGGATGTTACAGTATAAATTGGATACATGGTACCCCAGATAACAAGATGACCAGTTCCAAACCAATATAGATATCAGTAGATATTAGGAATTTATTATATAGAGTTATGTATCGTAAGTTTCTTTGGGGACTAACACTGAAGGACTTCATGTAAGAAGTTTCAGAGTAACAGCCGTGTTAGTCTGTATTTGCAAAAAGAAAAGGAGTACTTGTGGCACCTTAGAGACGAACCAATTTATTTGAGCATAAGCTTTCGTGAGCTACAGCTCACTTCATCGGATGCATCCGATGAAGTGAGCTGTAGCTCACGAAAGCTTATGCTCAAATAAATTGGTTCGTCTCTAAGGTGCCACAAGTACTCCTTTTCTTCGTGTAAGAAGTGTATTTTCAGGAGGGATATGGAGAGAAGGCACTTGATTGCTGTACTAGAAAAGTGTTCCATGCAGAAGAGGAGAAGATATACAGAGAACATTAGGAGAGGGATTCAAAGGGAGAGGCCAAGTAAATGACTTGGGAGCAGGAAGAAATGGTCATACAGATTTAGGGTGGATTTTCAAAAGCATTCTGAGCATTAAGTAGCTGATTCCTAGTGACTTTTAGTGGGAGTTTGGAACAATGCAATCTACTTTTTAGGACTGAAATAGGAAGTCTCTGCAAGTCTGGCTCCTGCCCATTGGTGAGGCTCTCTCCCTTGCTTTCACAGATGTGCAAAATACAGCAAGCAGTTATCATTCAAGGTATATATTGCTTGGCAGCTTTCAGCCTACTCATGAGAAAATACCATCTTCTTTTCAGCCTTCCAAATGCACACTCTGCTGTCATTCTGCAGCTACTCAGGTTGTAGATGAACAAGTCCTTTGTGCTGTCCAAATGTCCAGTAAAAAAACTACATAAGCCAGGGAAACAAAGTGTAAACTTGGTCTCTCAGAATGAGAGTGGGAATCACAACACCATTAATGTCCATAGTGGTCCTATAAGCAAAAATTCCTTTTTTCATTAAAGAAAATGGGTGAGAGTTTCAAAAGATCTGAGCATCATGGAACTTTCCAGACCACCCAACGTTGTTGGTCAGCCTGTTTTGGTGATCAACCAGGCCTTAGAGCAACATGGAGAAATGCTGGGGTTTTTGTATGATATGTGAAGCCTGTGGAGAGCAAGACGAATGGGTCTCATCAGAGGCTGCAGTACAGTTTGGGTACCCCAACCCTGCAAATCCATCAGTCTCCTGTGCATTGCCAAGCTTTATGACCCCCACTATCAGCACCTTCTTTAGAGCAGCACACACCTCTTCGACAACAGCCCTGGCAGTCAATATACCAGTAGCAAATTGGTTAGCTACTGACTGGTAGCAACTGGAAGTGGCGAGCTGCCAGTTGGCAATGGCCACATGCTTCTCCACGCAGAGAGGAGTGTTCAGGTGAGCTCCATCCAGACGTATTGGAAAGTACCTGCTGTTCGCCTGAAATTCTGGCACCACCGCTGGTCATCTCTGGACTGCATCGCTATCCTCTCCCAGCACTGCCAGCTGCCTTTCTAAAAGATATGCTCTAGATCAAACAAAAGTTATGCGCTTGTAATGTGTCTGGATAACAAACTAGCAACTTCATTTTTTTTAAAAGTTGCTATTGTGGGGGGTTCACAATTTCTTCATCCAGACCTAAGCATTAAAGTAAAAAATAATTTATCTTTATGAAAGGAAGAGGTAGAGTTTGAAACACTGACTCCCATTTTTTAACCAGCATTTTCCAGATGCAACTGCTGCAGGGCTCTCTATACAGAACTACATCATGAAACTACACAGAAGTGTAGTTCTGTATAGAGAGCCCTGCAGTACTCCAGCCTACTGTACCCCTTTCAGGATGCTGATTTGTCTTATGTACTCCAACTCTCACCTCACTGAAAAACTACTTGCTTACAAAATTAGAAATTAAAAATAACAAAAGTGTCACAGCACACTATTACTGAAAAATTGCTTACTTTTTCATTTTTTGCCATATGATTTGTGATGGGCGAAGGCCAGATGGCTATAGAAAAGTAGTGGGAGATAGATATATTAGCTCCAGGCTAAACAAATCTCTGGTACCAGGATAAGTGAAATGGCAGCTGCTCCAGGTCAGTTAAGACACCTGGGGCCAATTAAGAACTTTCCAGAAGGCAGGGAAAAGGCTAGGTTGATTGGGAAACCTGAAGCCAATCAGGGGCTGGCTGAATCTAGTTAAAAGCCTCCCAGTCAGTCTGGTGGGTTTGCATGTCAGGAAGGGAGGAAGTTGTGCTGTTGGAGAGGCTGAGTAGTACACACCATATCAGGCACAAGGAAGGAGGCCCTGAGGTAAGGGTGAAGTGGAGCTTGAGGAAGTGAGGTCTGCTGTGGGGGAAGTAGCCCAGGGAATTGTACATGTCATGTTTCTAAAAGGTCAGCTACCATAGCTGATACTATTAGGGTCCCTGTGCTGGAGCCTGGAGTAGAGCATGAGCCCGGGCTTCCCCCCGCCCCCCTTTGTCCCCTGATTAATCACTGAGACTGGGAGACAACAGAGACTGTGCAAGGAAGGATAACTTCTCCTCACCTCCCTCGCTGGCTTATGATGAAAATAGCTCAGTAGACTGTGACCTTTGTCTCTAGAGAGAGAAGGGTTACGTGGAGGGTTACAGTGAGCCTCTGAGGCTAGCAAAATCCATCAGAAAACACAGGACCCACAGAGGCAAGGACAGAGCTTTGTCACAGATTATAAAATAAATCAATTGGAATACATTTCAGTGTGTATATAGAGCAGCATAAACAAGTCATTGTCTGTATGAAATTTTAGTTTGTACTGTCTTCGCTAGTGCTTTTTATGTAGCCTGTTGTAAAACTAGGCAAATATCTAAAGGAGTTGATGTACCCCCTGGAAGACATCTGCGTACCCCCAGAGGCATGCATGCCCCTGGCTGAGAACCACTGGTGTAGAAGGTGGTTTAGTTAGGTATTTCGACATCTCTATGGCCTTAATTGTGGAAACTACTAACTGGGAGCACAAAAATGGACCCAGTTAATCAAGGTGGAAAATTTGGCTATTAGCATCTGTAGAACAAACATTTCCTAGTAAATCTAAATTGTTTCAGGGTATAGTTGCATCTTCCTAATCTGCTCACACACCTTTTTTATTGTTAAAATAAACTAATAAAAACTACTGTTTGTACCTACCTGAGCTAAGTTTAATACTAGAGTTTTGCAGTATTTACTAGCAATTCAATATTTGCTACTTTAGCAATTGTACCAGCGATCAGTGCAGTATTCTGATGCGCAGCATGTCTGAAAATCAGAAAACTGAAGTATTAGAACGGAAACTAAACGTTTGTCAAAATAACGAACAAAGAACATTTTGTGACCATAGTGACAAAGTTTAACTAGTTAACATTTGGGCCCTAATCAACTTGACAGTGTTGTTTTAGAATTAACAAGAACATTCTTTGAAAAATCTATAGTTGCACAAGCTTTTCAGTGACTACGATGTGTTATAAATATGTCCAATCACATAAACTGGCCTTTATAGCCCAAGTAACAAATAATTTAATCATACTGCATTTCTGACCACGTTAGTTATAAAAAAGTGAAGCCTTTGTCTTTAATTCCAGATATATTTGGTCTTCCATTCACAGCTAATGACCCCACAGATACTATTCCTCGAACCTGCCAGGTAAATACAGATGTGCCACAAGTCACACAACTGCTGAACATGACTAAACTTCGCCAACCAGAAATAAGATTTGGAGGTCGTCCCTTAACTTCATCAGAATCAGGTATACTGTCTTACTAAAATTACTGTGTGTGTGTGTGGAGAGAGAGAGAGAGAGAGAGAGAGAGTAATATAATGTGCATACAGTTTGATGTGTCCTATAACACATTTTAAGGGTCCAGTTTTCTCACCTAGGCACCAGTTGTATATCCCTAAAATTGTATGCACACACAAATGCACCTACATTTTGTAGGTGCAAGGATGCATGCAGACTTGAAGAATTCTAACACGCATGCTTGCAAAGTCCTGGGATTTAGAAGCACAAAACCCATTAGAATGAGTTTTTGTAGGTGGAAATTCTAATATTTGTATGCTCAGTTGTTAGAATTTTACAAGTGTACACATGGGTGTTTTGCCAGTAGAATAACAAAGCATCTGGAAGATCATAGAAGATTAAGGTTGGAAGAGACTTCAGGAGGTCATCTAGTCCAACCCCGTGCTCAAAGCAGGACCAACACCAACTAAATCATCCCAGTCGGGTCTTTGTCAAGTCGAGCCTTAAAAACCTCTAAGGATTGAGATTCCACCACCTCCCTAGGTAACCCATTCCAGTGCTTCACCACCCTCCTAGTGAAACAGTGTTTCCTAATATCCAGCCTAGACCTCCCCCACTGCAACTTGAGACCATTGTTCCTTGTTGTGTCATCTGCCACCACTGAGAACAGCCAAGCTCCATCCTCTTTGGACCCCCCCCCCCCCAGGTAGTTGAAGGCTGCTATGAAATCCCCCCTCACTCTTCTCTTCTGCAGACTGAACAAGCTCAGTTCCCTCAGCTTCTCCTCGTAAGATTTCTTTTGGCCCAATCCTCCAATTTGTCTACGTCACTCTGGATCCTATCCCTACCCTACAGCGTATCTACCTCTCCCCCCAGCTTAGTGTCATCCACAAACTTGCTGAGGGTGCAATCCACCCCATCATCCAGATCATTAACGAAGATGTTGAACAAAACCGGCCCCAGGACAAACCCCTGCGGCACTCCGCTTGATACTAGCTGTCAACTAGATATCAAGCCATTGGTCACTACAGGTTGTGCCCGACGATCTATCCACCTTAGAGTCCATTCATTCAATCCATACTTCTTTATGAACTTCATGAACTGCTGTGTTTAACCAGCATGGATTCTGAAATGGAAAATCATTTCTCACTGATCTGTTAGAATTCTTTGAATGGGTCAGTAAAATAGTGCTTGAAGAAAAACTTTTTGACGTAATTTATTTAGACTTCTAAAAGACGTTCTGTGAGGTTCTGCAAAAAAGGCTAAAAGCTAATAAAGACTCTAAGTAATCACAGGGTGAGAGTGACAAAGTACTGTCTTAGATCAAGAACTGGCTAAGAGACAGAAAGCAAAGAGGATTCAATTTTCATCATGGCAAGATGTTAACAGAGGGGCCTCAAGATTCTAGGCTCGAGCCCGTGGTGGTGTTCAATATATTTATTAATGAACTGCAAAGGTGAGTGAATAATGAGGTAGTAAAATTTTCAGATGACATCATTTAGGTTGGTCAGAGCCAGAGAGGACTGCGAAGAACTTGAAAGAGACCTAAAAGAGCTTGGTGAACGGGCGACACAATGAAGCTCAGTGTCAATAAATGCAAAGTAATGCACATTGGAGGAAAAAAAATTGGAGGAAAAAAACTACTCTTATACTTTACTAGTTTCTAATTTAACTGTTGCAACCCAAGAAAGGGATCTGAGCATCATTATAAGCAGCTCAGTGAAAATGTCTGTTTAATGCACAGCTGCAGTCAAAAAAGCTAACAGGATGTTATGCTGCGTAAGCAATGGGATGGAGAACAATAGTAAAAATATTATAATGCCTTTATTTAAATCAATGGTGTATCCTTCCCTGGATTACTGTGTGCACATTGACCAGCCCATCTCAAAAAGAACATTGTGGAACTAAAGGGGTTCAGAGAAGAGCAACAGAATGATCAAAGACCTGGGTTAGCCAGTCTCTAACTCAAGGGTGGCCAACCTGAGCCTGAGAAAGAGAGCCAGAATTTACAAATGTATATTGCCAAAGAGCCACAGTAATACATCAGCAGCCCCTCATGAGCTCCCCCGTTCCCCCGCCCTCCCAGAGCCTCCTACCCACTGGCAACCCTGCCGATCAGCGCCTGCCTCCCTCCCTCCGCACACCTCATGATCAGCTGTTTCGTGGCATGCAGGAGGCTCTGGGGGGGAGGGGGAGGAGTGAGGGCACAGCAGACTCGGGGGCGGGAAGGGGTGGAGTGGGGGCAGGGCCTGTAGCAGAACCAGGGTTGAGCAGTGAGCACCCCCCGGCACACTGGAAAGTTGGCACCTGTAGCTCCAGCCCCGGAGTCGGTGCCTAGACAAGGAGCCGCATAGTAATCTCTGAAGAGCCGCATGTGCCCCAGAGCCCCAGGTTGGCCACCTCTGCTCTAACTATTAGAGATCAGGATGAGACCTATAATGGGGGAGCCAGATTGTTATGCCTACTTCGGGATTCTGCCGTCCTCTGAATCATATGGTTCTGGCCACTGTCAGAGTCAGGATACTGGACTAGATGGACCCTTGAAATGTTCCCTATGGCAGTCCCTATGTTAATATGTTTGCATCTGCAAAGTGCAGGGGTATGTATGCAAAATGTTGTGTATACCGAATGTGACAGGGTCGGGCCGGATGGCTACAGGAGAGTAATAGAAGGCAGATATATTAGCCCCAGGCTAAGTAGGTCCTTTTTCCCTGGGTAAGGTAACAGGGAAGGTTCCAGAACAATCAGGAACCTTCTGGAGACAATTAAGACAGGCTGATTAGAACACCTGCAGCCAATCAAGAAACTGTTAGAATCAATTAAGGCAAGCTAATCAGGGCACCTGGGTTTAAAAAGGAGTTCACTTCAGTTTGTGGTGTGCGTGTGAGGAGCTGGGAGCAAGAGGCACTAGGAGCTGAGAGTGAGAACACGGACTGTTGGAGGACTGAGGAGTACAAGCATTATCAGACACTAGGAGGAAGGTCCTATGGTGAGGATAAAGAAGGTGTTGGGAGGAGGCCATGGGGAAGTAGCCCAGGGAGTTGTAGCTGTCACACAGCTGTTCCAGAAGGCACTCTAGACAGCTGCATTCCACAGGGCCCTGGGCTGGAACCCGGAGTAGAGGGCTGGCCTGGGTTCCCCCCAAACCTCCAAACTCCTGGTCAGACACAGGAGGAGTTGACCTGGACTGTGGGTTCCCAAAAATGGCCAAACTAAGGGCTGCCGTGAAGCGCCAAGGCGAGCAAATCCGTCAATAAGCGCAAGACCCACCAAGGTAGAGGAGGAACTTTGTCACACCAAGTAGAGGTTAGGCTGCTGAAAAACTGAAACTGAAATTGACTGCATTATTTATTAATTTTTTTTATACCTGAACTAAAAATTCTTGATCGAAATTGTAGTCGAGCTTGTCCATTGATAAGCAGATGTGCATCACTATGTGTCTTAGCAAGGATCTGAACACAGAATCGCATTAAATGATATCCTGCATTTCATTTCCTAGACACCTACACACGATTTAAATGCCATCTAAAGTATAGGCAGTATACCATATTCTGGTCATCGCTTTTCAGGCCAAATCCTGCTCCCACTGAAGTCAGTGGTAAAACTCACATTGACTCGAGAGGGAGCAAAAGTAGGCCCATGGTGGTGTACACTTTTATTATCCAAGAATAAAGACTGATTAGAATACAAACTTAAAAAACAGATGATCTTTGAATATAAATAAGTGTCTTCACTTGTACAATAGCATATGCTTGCATAAATTGTAACGTTTGCTTCCAAATGTACATGCAGTATGAGGAAAAAACAGAAAATACTGGCATGCACATTGCATGGGTCCTTTTTCAGGATTTTTATTTCATTAACAGATTACAGTTTTTCCAAAATTAAGAGCATGTTGTTGCTTCAAAATTGTCATGTAGGAGTAATTTTCTTGAATTACAAATAGAGATATAACCTGTTCAAGAGCAAGAGTGTTTTGAATGTTTTCAATTAAATTAATAAAACCAGCATGTATCCAGTAAATCATTGTGTCCAATTTAACTAAAAATTTACACTGTTAATTCCTTCAATTCCCAACCCACATTAAGTAATGGCTGTCAGTCAATGTAGGACTGTAGGAAGTAATTTTTTTTTTCATTAATGAGACCTCAGTTTAATTGAACACAGAATCAAGTCTGGTTATTTAAATTGAGTAGTTCAACTCACTAATGACAAGATGTAGTGGTCCACTAAGCACAGCTCAAAACCAGTAATTTACTTAAAAATTAGTACTCTATTTGCCTGAGTGCTTTCATTTCCACAGCAGCAACATTGTGGGTTGTTTTTTTTCTTTGCTTTAAGTAAGGGCAGCCATGTTTCTTTTGGACTGTATGTCAATATGAAACAGGAAAGTATCCTGGAACATGTTATCTGGGCTTCTAAGAAATACAAGCAAGCTGTGTTTGCCGTAATGTGTTTTGAAACAAAGATGCATACAGTATGGGAAGATTCATATGTCCTCCTACAGCAGATTTTTATTCCAATTTTGTTCCAGTTTTCCCCGTCTCTTCACCTTTTTTATGAATTTATAAACTTTTCAGTAACCAGATAAGGTACTAAAAGATTATATCTGAGAAGTAGAACACATATCTTGGACGTCTAACATATTGAAAGCTAATGAAAATGAGGTAGGATCAGAGGCTAAAATAGGGAAAGAACAAGTTAAAAAATACTTAGACAAGTTAGCTGTCTTCAGGTCACCAGGGCCTGATGAAATGCATCCGAGAATACTCAAGGAGCTGACTGAAGAGATGTCTGAGCCATTAGTGATTATCTTTCAAAAGTCATGGAAGACGGGAGAGATTCCAGAAGACTGGAAAGGGGCAAACATAGTGCCAATCTATGAAAAGGGAAATAAGGACAACCCAGGGAATTACAGACCAGTCAGCTTAACTTCTGTACCCAGAAAGATAATGGAGCAAATAATTAAGCAATCAATTTGCAAACACCTAGAAGATAATAAGGTGATA